CCTCCTCCTAGTACAAATCCCCCCCCCAATTCCCCCTTCTAGTACAAATTCCCCCCATCCCCCCTTCTAGTACATATCCCCCCCCCCCAATATTCCTACTCCTAGCACAACTGCCTACAAATTACCCCCCTCTCAGCAAAGATCCCTGCATGCCTAAATCACCCTAGTAGCACACCCAATTCCACCCACCTAGCACTAATCCTTGCCCCTAGCAGAATTCCCCCTCCTAACACAAATCACCAACCCCCCCCCCCCCAATTCCCCTCTCTTAGCATAATTCCCCTCCAATTCCCCCTTCCTAGCACCCCTCCCCCCAATTCCACCCTCCTAGCACAATTCCCCTCCAATTCCCCCCTCCTAGCACAAATCCAGCCCCCCAATACCCCCCTCCTAGCACAATTTCCCTCCAATGTCATACAAGATACATTGGGAATGCAGAGCAGCTTGAATCCATTTACTGGCGACTGACTAACTTCCTTTGCTGGAATTCAATTCCAAGCATCAGGTACTACTCTTTCCATTGAATAATACTTTGCAAGATTAGTTTTGAACTTGGACTCCTGCTAGTTTGAGGTCTTGCCCCCATGTTCAAGATCTTGGCTTTATACTGAAACACTACAATGTGTGACACTGCTTTTCCAAAATGCAATAATTATGATGGTGGACTATAGCAAAATAAACCCTTCTAAACGGTACAAGAGTACATCAAACCTGGACAAACATAGAAAGAGGATTTGTGATCAGAAATAGAGTATCCTCCCTCCATAAAAGGGACAGTTAGAAGCTACAGTATGTGTAACAATGTTTGTGACTGTATAGCTGTCAGGTATTGTTATTCCTCCAGTGCTCAGCGCAGCAGGAGCTCTCCATGTGCTATATATCATCAATCCAATTACCTGTGGCATGTTTCTCTCCTTTTAACACCTGTCACTTGAGAACAGGCTTTGGACTTATTAAGAAGCTTTTGATGTCAGAGCAGTAGGTTTGGATTTTTATTTGATGCTGGCTGACAATGGATCTATTTTGTTACATTTATTAACTAGACTCAGAGGTTTCAAACAAAACAGGTAGAAATCATGCCATTTCCCCTCAGTCACTTTACTTGTTGCCATAGAAACGGTGTCATGATGAATTAATTATACAGACGATTTATCAAAAATATTCAGTGGAAACAGCTTAGCATTACACAACTTTCCTCCAATTAAATACTTATTAATGTTATGGTCTACGTATTGGAAGGTTTTAACAGATTTTTTATGTTTCATGTAATTACATTTTAAACTGTTCCTTTGTTCAGTGATGACATGGAGTACACAGGGGTACTCCACTAATCAACTGAGGTGAAAGATTTCTTTCTATGACATAGGCAGAGGTTGTAATGATCTCCAATAGTTTTCATTACCTAGTATGCCCATTTTGCAAATTAAATTCCTCTAAGCTCCTCTGATATATAGGTGAAAAATTATTAATCAAAAGTTACATTACATTCAGAGTTGTTTGGGGAAGCAAGATACTTAAGGGAATGACAAACCTTCTAAAAGAAATGTATAGTAGTTTTGTATATAATAACAAAAAATGGTGAAGCGCTATGCAAATGCAACAAATCAGTGTATATACACACAAATATAGGTGAATAAATATACATTAATAAGCAATAATTAAAACGTGAGACTCCAATCTTTTAAATAATATAGAGTGACATGTGCTTAAATTAACAACACACTGTGCAAAAAACAAGTGCCTGGTCTGCCAATAAAAATATAAACACACCAGGTTAAATTAAATATATACCCAAAATAGATATATATACATGAATAATATTAACGTGAGCCTCCAATCCTTGAAATAATACAATAATAAGTAAAAACAGCAACACACTGTGTAAAAAATGCCTGGTCTGCCAAACAATATGTATACACACCAGGTAGAGTGAAATAGATACCAAAAATTAGATATCCATTATTAATATATCAAGTGATAGGTGCAACAACACAAATAGAAAAAATAAATAAAGGACAATTGAATAAAATCATTCAGTGTAAACAACGATAGTGACCAGTCCAACAAAAAGTGCTTCAATCTTCAGTGTACACTATAAGTGCTCTCAGTGACACTCTTTGTGACTTATCCCACAGTGGCTAAAGTGCCTCCTCACCTCCTAACATCGACCCTTAAGGGCCACAACACCTTGGGTAATCCTCAAACCAGACGGCTTCCCACACTGTAGCTCCACCGACTCCACTGACTCCAATCGGGCTCCGATTTATAACTCAGCGCATCAAATATCCCTTTCACACAATAGGCTCAGGCATGCATGACAGGGGTAAAGAGAAAGACCTCCATAGTGTAATACCGCTTTATTAATGAAAAAAACGCCAAATAAATGGACACTCACATTAAAATCCTAGTAGTACAGCACTTTCCCATGTGCTATGGGTGTACTAGGGGACTTGGGTGTACCAAGATGGCATCAAAACCGGAAGTGCGTCACCACTGAAAACGAAAGTGTGTCACCACACATGCTCTCTATGCGTTACACCACGATAGGACACATAGTTTTTATTTATTATATCAGGAGTAAAAAAAACAAAATGCTGTACATACTATTTTTGTTTTTGCCAGGAAAAGACATTTTGTGGTCTCCTTTTCACATGCTTACCTGTCTATTGTTATAAGCTTTCCTGAGAGAAGCTCAGTGTTTACAGGGCTCAGCAGCTCAAGCTGACATTTACAGTACACCTACATATGAATGAGAAGTAACTCAACCCCCTCTCTCTCCATCCCTCCTGCTCTGTACAAGATAACAATCAGAGATAGGGAAGCAAACAGATTTAGCTTTTATCTATGTTTGGGAAAACCCACAGTACTTTAGGTGTCCTTTGTCATGAATGTACCCTTTATTAAAGCAAACTTTAACTAAAAATGTGAATATCTGCAATATTATATGCTACACCCAGAAATGTTTATTGTGTCTAAGTAGTACTCTGAAAACTTGTACCCTTTGTTATGAATTCCTCCTGAAATGTAGCAGTGCACTTCCTGGTATGTTAGTGTGCCTAGGTACTCCTGTGCCTACAAGCCTCATAGCTGTATATCTGTTGTGTGAAATCTAAGGTTACATTCACACCTGTGAATGTGATTGACACAGATTACATGTGAGAACCCCAGCAGGCGTTCCTAGCAGTTAGCTGGGGAAGACAGCCCCATTGAAAACAACAGGGGGGCTGCCAGCTCTCACAGCTAATCAGGGCCGCTCACATGTAATTGCTCATGCAGCAGTCACCTGCAATTGAAAGGTCCTGTCTATGTCCAGGGTTGATCACTTGCAGGTGATTGCTGCATAAGCGATCACATGCAATTGGTTCATGATAAACTGTGGAAGCCAACAACCTTGCAATGCTTTCAATAGGGCTCTTTACCGCTACTAATCGCTGTGAATCCCTACTAGGGTTTTTGCATGTTATCGGTGTCCGGCGCATGTGCAGGTGTCTCATGAGATTTTGTTACATCAGTACTGTGTTGCTTGCAGCAGTAAATGCATCTCCCTGCTTCTGTTTAATTTAATCTGCACATCTGTTGATGGGTTAAAATAACTAGAAGCTTAAAGAGAAGAAGCTTTATAGTTAATTTTTCAGCAGGTGGTGTGTTAAATCTTCACTTTCCAAAAGAGCTTCAGGAGCTGCTGTTTTCTGACACTTCTGGGAGTGTCAAATAAAGTTTCTCCCACTGGTTCCGACATCTATGTTACTAAAGAACAAGAAAGAAATGGAAAGCATATGCAATAATACACGTTTGACAATAGCTGCCTGTTTGTGAGACTTCTCCATTTAGCTACAATCCACTCTTAAAAAAAAAAGGTGACACTGCTTAACTACTCGGTCATATTTTTCATTATTCATCACCTCCTTCTCAGTATTTGTGAAATTCAATTGCTTCCTCAATAAATGAATGTGTAGCCAGTCAGTGGGAGCATTAACCGCTCTCATATTTAGCTAAGCCTATGGTCTCGAAGCTGCAGGTCCCTATAGCAGTTTAATGTGATACTAAGGTAAATGTTAGGCTCTTATGATTAAGTAAGTATTACAGCTTAATAATTTAACAGACTATTGATGGAATGGTCCATGCATGGCATTCACTATGAGGCTCCAGGGAATAAGTCTTGTGTGAGATAACTGGCTCAAAATTACCCTTACATATTGCGGTTTTACTTATAGTAAGGAGAAATAAGGAACTCAGAGTTCAGGGCACATTTTCATTTTTATTTAAAGGTCTTTTGTACATGAAGTATAACTTTTAACGTCATGGACTACATATAATTTCTTTTAGGATTAAAATGTTTGCTCCCCACTTACTAACTTACAGTGATTCTGAAAGCCACTTTGATCTGCGAATGATTAAAAGCCACAGGGGTTAATTTATTAATGGCAAATAGGCTGTTCATTTTGCAAGGGAAGTTTCACTTTGCAAGGGAATTAGCGCCATATCATAGTGATTGAGGTGAAGCTCTGCTGACTTCCAAGCTAAATTAAGTCAAACCGACAGTGTTTTAGTGCTAAATTGAAATAGTCTCTTCCCTGTATTATATATATTTGTGTATGACAGTCTCATTCTACCTTTCGGTCTCCTCTTTTTTAACCAAGAAGTGGGTGTTTCTCTACCAATAACTCTGACCAAGAAGCAGATAGCAATAAGAAAAGGTATTTGAGAAAAAGTGTTGTCCAATTGATAATCTCAATTACATTTTATAAATGTTCCACATTGTAGTATTGCAAAGTCTTGTCCCCTTCAAGCCAAACCCACATTTTATCCAGTGTTGCAGCTGGTGCAAAAACCTACACTACCAATATAAATACTGTATAAAAGCGCGTACCTCCAATCACTATGAACCACACAACATACACTATAATGCCAAAAGTATTGGGACACCCCTCCAAATCATTGGATTCAGGTGTTCCAATCACCTCCATGGCCACAGGTGTATAAAATCAAGCACCTAGGCATGCAGACTGCTTCTACAAACATTTGTGAAAGAATGGGTCACTCTCTCCCAGGAGCTCAGTGAATTCAAGCGTGGTACTGTCATAGGTTGCCACCTGTGCAATAAGTCCATCTGTGAAATTTCCTTGCTACTAAATATTCCATGGTCAGCTGTTATTGGTATTATAACAAAGTGGAAGCAACTGGGAACAACAGCAACTCATCCACAAAGTGGTAGGTCACGTAAAATGACAGAGCGGGGTCAGCTCATTTTGAAGCGCAGTGCGCAGAAGTCTCCAACTGTCTGCAGAGGCCATATCTAAAGACCTCCAAACCTCATGTGACCTTCAGATTAGCACAACAGTGTGTAGAGAGGTTCATGGAATGGGTTTCCATGGCCGAGCAGCTGCATCAAAGCCTTAAATCACTAAGTGCAATGCAAAGTGTCATATGCAGTGGTGTTAAGCACGTGTGTTGGGTTTGGTGGTTGCCAGGAGAACGGTACTTGCCTGACTGCATTGTGCCAAGTGTAAAGCTTGATGGAGGGGGGATTATGGTGTGGGGTTGTTTTTCAGGGGTTGGGCTTGGCCCCTTAGTTCCAGTGAAGGGAACTCTTAAGGCATCAGCATACCAAGACATTTTGGACAATTTCATGCTCCCAGTTTTGTGGGAACAGTTTAGGGATGGCCCCTTCCTGTTCCAACATGACTGCGCACCAGTGCACAAAGCAAGGTCCATAAAGACATGGATAAGTTTGGGGTGAAAGAACTTGACTGGCCTTACCTCAACCCAATAGAACAATCTTTGGGATGAACTAAAGCGAAGACTGCAAGTCAGGCCTTCTCTTCTGACATAAGTGCTTGACCTCACAAATGTGCTTCTGGAAGAATTATCAAACATTCCCATAGACACACTCCTAAACCTTGTGGACAGCCTTCCCAGAAGAGTTGAAGCTGTTATAGCTGCAAAGGGTGGGCCAACTCAATATTGAACCGTACAGACTAAGACTGCTATTCCATTAAAGTTCATGTGCGTTTTAAAAGCAGGTGTCCCAATACTTTTGGCAATAAAGTGTACATCTTACCTTTCATTTTTAATGCTAATACAATCCAAATTATGTATTTTTCTCTATTTTTAACAAAGAAAAAAAACTCACCTTATTAAAAGATATCAGTAAGTTTCACCATGATTTCACTATGATGACTGAAAATGTAAAAAAAAAAAAATATTGTAAAAAATATATAATTCACCCCACCCACCACTGTATAAAAGTGAAATAAAAACTTAAAGTCCAATATCTATATCATCCAGCACTGGGCCCTTCTCCTGTAAGGCCTGGTTCAAACTATCATGGGTGTGGGAATCGTAGCGATTCCTGCACCTGCAACCATCCACAGTCGAAACATGCAGGGCTGCCATTCATTCTTAATGGCACCCCTACACATCTCAAACCGCAGGTTTGTGTGTGCGGGAACCGCAGGAAAATTGTATGGTGTAATAGCACCATGTGATTTCCCTTCAACCACACCTTGTAATAGATGCATGCTTGTGAACCTAGGCTTAAAACTAAATCCTCCCATCTTTTTTTAGCCAAAGAAGCTTCCATCTTAGTTTGACTTCAACTGCCAAGTTGCTGCACATGTGGTCAGTTATGACCCAGCCATTTGATAGTTTGACAGTTTGGTTGAGAGCACAAGCAAATGTGACAGTTACTGGGAACACATGTTGGAAAATGTAACTGTTTTTTGAAACTGTTAAATTGATGGGTTTAGTTCTTCTTTTAGGCAAACCTCATTTAAGAATAAGTACAGGAGGAGTTACAGCATCTATGTCTATTTTTATGTGTGCCTGTCAGATCCTGAAGCAAATTCTCAATAAGCTGTTATTCCCCAATATATAGGAGGGCCTGGAACTGGACAATGAAGACAAAAAGGGACCTATTATTTTTTAACATAATTAACAAGGGTTGTGAGAATTGTTAGCATTAGACATTCCCTTTTAAACACTGACCTGATAATGATAGGATGTATAAGTTGTAGCAGTCTGTTTGAGGTCCTTTCACTATGATATTAAAAACCTGCTTGCCTGGTTTACTAAGGAGACAACTTTCTGTGGGTGAAACACCATTTTTTTGTAAAAACAAAAAAATATTTTCATAGAAAAAAAAATGTTAAAACTAAAGTAAAAAAGAAAAAAATCTCTACTGTACATTATTACAGTCTTTGGTATATATTAAATTCCAATCTTAAATCACAGCATCATGTTATCTTTGGCTTATGCTATATATGGTTGTTCTTGCAAAATCCTCAGCACATCCTCACCTTTCCTTTGCTCCCCGCTGCTCTGTTCAGCTGTCAAGAACTGGTTATCCATGTCATCACTTCCTTGCGCTCAGTTACATTATAGGCTCTGATGATTGTGGTGGTAATACTTACCATCTTCAGAGATGTTCACTTAGCAATATGCATTTTGTTATTCATTTTGCAGGTGTTATATAAATATAAAAATAATATCTTTGTGGCCTGTCATGGCCTGTACTTGGGTTGATGGTATGCTCTTAATTTGGTACCATTAATTTAGCTTTTAACAAGGTAGTTAGTGAGACCTCTGAGAACCACAAGCCTGAAAGCAGTACAGCTGGCAGCAAACAACCCATAGCAAATACTTTAAAATTTTAATAGCCTCTATAAACAGCTGTTACAAAAGAGATTGATCTGACTGTATTCATTTTTCAAGTCTCATTTTATAAGGCCGATCCATGAATAGGAATCTGAGAATTCAGAATTATGGATCTGAAACAGTCACTAAGCATCAGCAACAAAATATGAGGAAAAATAAATCCAGATGTAGCAATAACCACAATATTTAGGTACCATACTGCTGGAAACATTATTGAGCTTTTACATTTGTGAAAGCTATAATATAATTAGTTAACCATAAACAAAGAAAATATTGGGTTCATATTGCATGGCTCATGAATTATAATGGTTTTATAAATCCTAGGGGCTTTGGAGCATAGAAAGAATTAATGCTGGTATACATAAGTTAACATTACAGCTGCTTGTGGTACATTACTTTTTTCATAACTACAGCCACCCCTTGTAATAAATGGGTAATTGTTGCGAAAATATGACCCTCTAGGACAAAGCTCACAAGTACATACCTAAGTCCTGAACTAATTTCCAGATAAGCTCTGCAGATGTGAAAATATTCTATGAATTGCTAGAGGCATTTTACCCTAACCTATAGTCACACAACCAGCTCAGTCAGATTCAAGTATAACTAAACCGAAGAACTAAGTATAATATGTTACAATTTATAAATCTTTAGATATAGTGGTGGTATTATTTTTTTCAGGCTTTTTTTTTCCTGCCAGTAAAACACTTGTGCTGGGTGACAACGCTCTCTCACTATACTGTAACTAAAGAGGAGCCACACTGTCATCTTAGGGAGGAGTAAAGAAACTCCCCCTCTCCATAAGATGGATAGAGAGGGGAACAATGTAACTGATAACAGTGCAGCACAGAAAGACAGCACACACAAAGTTTTGTGCTCAAGTCATGAGCTGGATCTCTGGCAGGATCAACAGATTTAATCAGGGGTTCTCAGTGTTATTTAAAATAAAAATTAACAGAAATATTAGTTCGTTGTTAGGCCTCTTTTCACACAAGGAGTCTGATCAGGTCCGCCTGTCATTTTATCAGGCAGACCTGATTGGATCCTCCATTCACCACTATGGATCGGTGGGTGTAAATGGACTTGTGACCCTTTTACACCTGCCTACCTCCAATCCTATCCAGCCTGCTAAAATGCTAAAAAAAAAAAGAAAAAAGAAGAGGATATGTCCCCCTCCGTCTTGGCAGATCGGAGGGCAGTCGGGTGTAAACGGCTCCCATAGAGCAGAGCAGGCTCTGCATAAACTGAGCAAACACATAAACCAGATATATATGCAACAAATTAATAAAAGAATGTGATTAAACAGAACTGTGAACTTTCTGTATGCCTTATGACGTGTCCTTTTTTATACATTTTCAAAAGAACAAGAAGAGAGGTATACATATGAATGATTAATTTAAAAAGTGGCATAGAAAAGAGTTGTTGCCCTGGAACAAGCATTTTAAGTTTCACTGGCTGCAGGCTTGTTACAGGTTAGTAATCCATTAGGTAGTAAAATTAGGTTCTATATGACAGCCGTTGAACCTGCACCTTTAAAATCTTAAAGCCTGTGGAAGCAGCAACCATATTTCTTTTTATGGGCTCACATTGTGAGAAATATTTAAATGTGAACAAGGGAAACCATTTATTAATAAAAGTCTTGGTTCTGTCTCACAGACTGAATGCCAATTCTTCCACTGTAGATATATCAGGGGAGCAACATTCTCCTTCCACAAAGAGGTTGTAACTACTTCAATGAATTATAAGTGATATTTTATAACAACCAACTTTTTACTGTGCCATGGTGGAGGGAATATAGAGCTGGGTCAATCATGTAAGAAGTTTTCTGAAATCACTTTTACTACTGTTTTCCAATACCTTTTAAAAATTTCTATTTTGTGATACTTTTTATTTTTTTTTTTGTTATTAAACTGATTTTTAAAATAGAAGGCACTTTTTAAAAAGAATAGATATTTAAAGCAGAACGCCAGTAATTTTTACAAATTTACAATGGTCTATTTTGACCTGATGCAAGTATCTATATCTTATATCCGGAGGGTTGCAGGGATTCTGAAAATCACTGTAGCCTGCGCAATATGCGATCCTCCAGATGCTGCTCCACCAGCTTTCCCAATGCACACTATACGTCTTGTGTCGGAAGTCTTGTATTTTTATGAATAAATACAAGGCATACTCTGAATAGATTAGGTTTAGATCATAACTTCATCTGCCCCTTTTCTGCACCTGGTCCATTCTGAGAATGCCTTATATTCATTGAAAAAATACAAAGTCTTCTCTGAATAGTGGTGGTGCCAAGCAATTGGCCTCCTGTGTTCAATGTGCAGAGATGAAGCCAATGGAGTAGCACACAACTATCACTCTATGTAGTTCAGAATACTACAGTGATTTTCATCATCCTCAGCAGCCCTCCTGGTATCAGATATGGACACCAAGCCAAGCTGGACAAATGTAAATTTGCCAAAAATGTTGTTCAGCTTCAAAATCTTAGCATTTTACTATTTTGTGTGTACTAATGTATTCAATCTAGTATGATTGTTACAAGCAAATCTATGCCTGCTCATGAACAGGTAAAGGAGATGATGGGGATAAAGTAAATAGCAAAAGTGTGCATAGGACAGTTGGTCTGGTTCAGAGGTAATAGATATGATGTTATGGGGAGCAGCTGCCATTTTACAAATGAAGGAAAATGTTAAAGCTGAAGTTAAGTAAAAATATTCTGTACA